CCCAGAAGTGACGTCACCACGGTCCTCACCCGCCCCCGGGCTCCGCCGTCCCTCACGCCCCTCCTCGGGTCACCCCACCCCCAGCCATCTTTCTTCGGGGCGGAAGTAGCCTAACCGGCGCTGGCTCCCCTTAAAGGAGCAGGGACAGCAGGGACGTTGGTGTTAAGCTTGGGGTCAAGAAGCAAAGCGACCTGAGCAGAGGTGAGTCGTTTATTCGAGCGTGGCCTCTCCGAGGTCGGTTGTCGAGCCCAGGAAGACTTGTTACGTGTTTGAGGTTTCCGAGCGCTGGATGTGTGTGAGATGCTTCTGTGTGTGAACCGTCCCTGGTTAACTTCGGGTGCGGCCTGCACCTCGCTTGGGGGCCACCTCTTTCATCACGATCCCCTCCGTGATCGTGATCGGAGCAGCGGAGAACTTGGGCCCCTAGTGTCAGCAAAGCAAAGCTGGGCGGGAACCGAGTCCTGGGATGCCAAGTCCCCCCCTCCTTGGATCCTTCTGGGTCCTCACAGTTCCCGGGCCGAAGTAGGGTTAGCAAGCAGTTAACAACAATCCGCACGTTGGGAAGCTGTGCAGCCATCCCGATGAGAAGTGTTTGATGTGCACTGACATGGGGCTACTTCCAAAATACCGTGGATGACAAATGAAAGCGTTGGGAGCGTGCGGTGCCATTAATATGGTTGAAACACCGTGTGCATCTTTCCACAATGTCAGAATTCACTGAATAACAATAAGTTCACAGGCTACACCACTTTCATCAGTGGCAGTTTATGGGATACTTGTAGGTGACCTGGTAGTTATAAGCTGAGTAATCATGGGTTCTTTTATTCCAATCTTAATTTCTAATATCTGAACACTCAAGTTACATATCGCACTTTACCCAAATTGTATATATACACATATATGTGTGTATATGTGAGTGTGGGTATGTTTGTAACAGAAAGGCCAAGAAAGTGTTAAGGCCACCACAGGGGTTCAGGAGGCTGAACTGAGAGCAAAGGCAGAGAGCAGACATGAATTCATTGTTGTTGGTTCAGAGTGCAGAGCTGTTAAGGCACAGCAACTTATTCTAGACCAAGGTCCAAAAGGAGGCAGTTTCACAGTGTCAGCTTGAGATGCCAGCTTAGAGTGGGATATGAATGGTCATTAAGCGCAAGAGAAACTGCACACTGCTGATGGTGTTTTTTTTTTTTTAATATTTATTTTTTAGTTTTCAGCAGACACAACATCTTTGTTTGTATGTGGTGCTGAGGATCCAACCTGGGCCACATGCATGCCAGGCGAGCGCGCTACCTCTTGAGCCACATCCCCAGCCCTGTTGATGGAGTTTTTGATGATTGTTTCTGTAACAGTTTTTCTGGGCAAGGCTTGTAACAAGTGACCAGGTGACAGGGTCAGGGTGCTGCCATGTCCAGTCCCGGGGAGCTCCTTCTTTTACTGGTCTGAAATGAGGGGTTTGCATCTGGTAAGGTTGATGCGCTCCTGTGTTTGATGTTCCTGTTATGATTTGGGATATCCACATGTCCAGGTACTCTTTGATTTAGATGGATATGTTGGCATGAATAAGTCATTTATCAATTTGTGCCTATGGTGGTGCCAGACAGATAGTACTTGTTTGCTTGTAGAAACAAGTTGTGGAGTCATTCCACCTGAGCCCTTAAATTCAGAATGGAGTAGCTCCTGGCAAACTACTGCTTTACAAAGTGTAGTAACAAAGGTTTAAGCACAGCCTGAAAACTACTGTTCACCACATTGTGGAGTGACTCGGTGCGGAGCACAGCCTGCTGTCCACAGAAGGAACAGGAAGAACATCATTGAGCAGGACTGTGATTTGTGTTCTAGGTGATCTGTGGATGTGATTGTGAGTGTCTGTGAGGTGTGTGCATCAGTTGTCTGAAGAGATGTACAAGTTGTTGTCTAGTTTCTCACCCAGGAGCCCTGGTTGCATCCCACCTTGTGTGCATGTGGTTGTGAGATGTCCAAGTTGTTAACTGGTTGCCTCACACAGAACAGGGTCCTGGGTACCTCCGCAAGGGGGAAGCACTTACTACCTTTTGCACAAATTGATTATCCAAAATGAAGTGCTGAGGTCCCCTGTGGAGCCAAGGCCTTGTTTCAGCTCTCCTGCTGGGAGGTCTTGTTTTCCCCTTTTAATACAGGAGGAAAGGGCCCCAGGGAGGGAAGGGAATCTAGCAACCTCAGCCAGGAAGCAGAGAGGCTGGGTTGGAGCACAGGAAGGTTTCACAGTAGTGCCAGTCTGTGATCCCTCTGGTCCTGCTCCCTACTGGGAAGCCACTTGGCTGTCATCATGTGGGGCTGGCTCAGGACGGTCATCCAGTAGCTTCTCATTGCCAGAACAAGTGAAGCAGATGGAGAACAGGCCTGTAATCCCAGCAACTGGGACAGCTGAAGCAGGGGATTGCAAGTTCAAGGCGGCCTGCGCAACTTAGCAAGACACGGATCTTAAAATAAAAATGAAAAAAAAAAAAAATGAAAAGGGCTGGGGCCATAGCTTAATGGTAGAGCACCCCTGGGTTCAACCCCCAGTACTGGGGAAAATGGAAAAAAAAAAAAAAAAAAAAAAAAAAGAAGAAGAAAGAAAAAGAAGGTTGCCTAAAGGGAACTCCCAGAGCAGGTCACTGTCCTCTCCCCCGAGAGAGGCTGCGGCCCCTCAGTGTGTCTCTCAGTACCCTGGGGTCATCAGCACTGAAGTGCTGGCACCTACTGTGCACCTGTCAAGCTGCCAGAGGCTGAAGGTCAGGTGAGAGCAGGGTGCATGCTCAGCTTCTATCCTGTGAGTCTACAAGGGCAACCTGGCAGCTCATGGTGCGTAGAGGTCCTTGGGTTCACAGAGGAGGGGGCTGCACCTAGCTACCCTAGCTAAAGTCAGAGAAGGCTCCCAATGGAGGTGACTTAATTTGCAACAGAAAGTGTTTGGAATGTCTGGAAGGGGTACTGAGGAGGCTGGAGACACAGGAGCTCACAGGGCTCATCCCCTGCCCTGCCTCAGGGTTACCAAGGGGCTGCCAGAAACTGGCAGGAGGCAGGTCAGAGGATGCCATCTGGCTCCTGCGTGGCTCATCTTTTTCCGCAGCACAGTGATTTCCCACCCTCAACGACTCCCGCTCAATCTCCCACACCTCCCAAGGGCTGGCTCCTGACTTTCTAATCCAGGTGGGGTGACAGAGGAGCACAGGACAGCTAAAGGCACTAAGGAAGTTCTTCACCCTGCTTCCCCCACCCCCATCTCTGGCAGTCCTCAGAGCAGCCGTCCTTGCTGACGCAAATCAAGGTGTCAGTCTCAGGATTGGAGGCTCCTCTGTCCTGACTGTCTCCAGCTGCCCGGGTTCTCAGATGGCACGTGTGCCAGGACACCTAGATGGCCAGGAGCAGGCTTGACCCCTGCTTCTGCAGCCACCAGGCTAAATTACTCCAGCTGTAGCAGGACAGGAGGTCCCTGCCATACCTGTCCTAATAGACCTGGGGCCACATTCCACTCCTGGAGGGCACTGCCAGCTCCCTGAAAAATCTCCAAGGGCACATCCTCTGCCTCATTCCTGCAGAGCTGGGAGCTTTGAACTTCCAGCTGGGGACCTCCTGTGCTTTTCTGGGACTCTGGGTAAGTCCTTTCCCTGCTCTGAGCCTCAGTTTCTCCCCTTAGAAAACGGATGGGCCCTTCTCAAAGGTTCCCACCAGGCTCCGTCTCCTGTGGGGTTTTTCATGTATGAACCTGCCCTTGGGAGTGAGATATTGACTTTGGATCAAAGCGAGTAAAGGGTGGGAGGCCTGCTGTTTGTCTCACTGGAGTCCCCGCCAGTCCCCTGTGGGCTAGGAACCTGCAGTCTGAGCCTCAGAATCTATTTCTCTGTCCTCCATTTCCCAAGTCAAGGGAACTGTCACTGTACTGCTCAGATCCCCCCAGGCTGTCCTTTCCTAAGGGGTGAACAATTGACTCAACAGGTTTTTACCAAACATTTGTCTTTGGGAACTCTTATTGATCCAAAAAAAGAAAACAAGAAAAAACCTGTATTCACTATCTCATAAGAGATTTTCTTGTGTCATTAAACAAATGTTTTTAGAAAGGTTATAGGTTTAGTTTTTTGTTGTTTTGTTTTGTTTTGGTACTGGGGATTGAACCCAGAGGCATTTTACCACTGAGGTACACCCCACTGTTTTAAGACAAAGTCCCACTAAGTTGCTCAGGGCCTCCCTAAGTTGCTGAGGCTGGCTTCAAACTTGCAATCCTCCTGCCTCAGCCTCCTGAGTCACTGGGATTGCAGGTGTGCACCACCGAACCCAGCTCAGCTTTCTATTTCATTTTTCTTTCCCTCATTTAGTGCTAGGGATTGAGCGGGCGAGGTAGGCTCTGTACCACAGAACTGTAATCCCACGCCTGGTTACTGCATTATCATCCCAGGGCTAGTTCATAGTGAGCTGGGCCATCTTTTCCCACACTAAAGCTTCAGTCCTGGAATAGACCTGTCCTGTCCCCCTTCTATAGAGGCACTGCGTTGTCTCAGCGACTGGGAGTCACCTGGCATCCTTCAGTGCCCCAGACAGCTGCCTGTGAAAAGCTGCCTCACCCAAACACCAAGTTGCCCTGTAGAGGAGTCCAGAACCAAGGTCCTACGTGTCCTCCTCGATGTAGGTGGTGGGAGCCAGCCTGGGAAACGATGGTCACCTGTCTGTCCTGCAAAGTGGAAGCTGGGCAAGGGATGGCCCCTGACCCTGAGGGGCTGGTGGTCTCCTGTAAGAAGGGGAGCTGGTGGTGGTGGCTGCGCTCACCTCCTTAGAGAGGGGTCTGGGGTGAGAGTTTGGACTTTAGAAAGAAATGAAGAGCAGCATGGGCCCAGCTCGGTGCTCTGGGCCGAGTGAGGTTTTTTTTGTTCTGCTCCGGAACAAAATAGGGACAATAAAACCTTCTCTATAGATTGGGGCGCTATAGCTGCACCCAGTCCCGCTGCTCACCTTGTTATGGGACAATTAAGTAGGGAAAAGGCGTTTTAGCAGGGAAGGTAAACTTGACTCAGAAAGCAGGCTCAGCTGGGCTTAGTGGCTCTCGCCTGTGATCCCAGTGACTCCAGAGGCTGAGGCAGGAGGGGCGTGAGTTCAAAGCCAGCCTCAGCCACTCAGTAAGGCCCTAAGCAACTCAGGGAGACCCTGTCTCTAGATTAAAACATAAAAAAGGTCTGGCATGTGGCTCA